AAGAAAGGGGTGGAAGGTACTTCAGGCAGGGAGATGAGCATATTCAAAGACCAGAAGACTGAAAGGCTCCATGGATTTGAGGAATGGGGAAAAGCTTCACGTGTAGGAGAAAAGAGCAAGAGATGAGGCTGGACAGGCAGGCTGAGACCAGACCAGGAAGGCTGGTCAAAGGGCAGGGGGAAGGTAGACGGCAATAACATAACGTGTGCTTTAAGATGATCCCTTGTGGCAATGAGGAGGCTGGCCACAAGGAAGGAGGGATCTGAGGCTCAGAGGACAGGGGACTGAGCATCAGCCCAAGAAGACCGCAAGGCCGTGAAGTGGGACATTAGCCGTGTTTAAGTGCAGCGAGCGGCTGTTCAAGTTCAGGGAAGGGCTGGCTCTGGTGACCAAATGGACTTCCTGGTGAAGATGCCAAGAGGGTTAATATCCTTGAGGTTTCTAGGTTCAGATGCTGGAGGAATAGTGATGCCTTTACCCAAGATTAAGAGATCAGGAGCCAGAACAAGATTCTCAGCTTCAGTAGTGCTAAGTCTAGAATGTAATGTAGGCTTTAAAACCTCAGTTACAAATGTTCTACACAAGACTGCAGTACTAGAAAACACATTTTAGCAAAATCTCAGTGTCTGTGTCAATTATTTTTAGCCAACCTTTAGTGCTAGGCTGTCTTCATCTTTACTCCTGGATGCCTTCCCGACTCTGCTCATTTACAAGCACCCATCGGAACTGACAGCTGATTTTCACATTCATGGTGTAAAATTCATAGTGGTCCTTCTGCCTGCCTCACCCTCCCACCTTCCCTTATCTTGCTATTGTGCTTCACGTTATGTTTGAAGGTCTGTTCTGGGAAACCTTCCCAACCAACATCCACCCCACCCAGTCATACCAACCTATAGGGGTTCTGGTGTCTCTTCTGTGAGTTTAAACGGTAATCTGTGCACATCCCTATCTTAGATTTTACCATATTACAAAAAAATATAGGGCTGTCTTGGCCATTAGCAAACTCTTAAAGTACGAGGACTTATGCCTTACACAAAGCATGCGCTTAAAAAAAAAATCACATAATTTTTTCAGCAATCTGTGGTTCTGTCTGGTGTGACATTTTACCAGTCTCATCTAATAATGAAGACATTCTAGGATTCACTGGGCCCTGCCTGGAGTTCTGAATTAGAGTCCAGGGGTGCTCTGAACCTGGCTGGTTACAGGCCCAGGTGGGTGGTGACCTTGCAGCCATTCCCAAGGCAACTCGGGGGCAGCCCGTCTCTCCTGGTGGTTTCTGATGAGAATCCCAGCAGGGACCCCTCCGAAGGGAACCCCTCTGGGGCAATTCTGCTTTATTTCCTCAGTGGGACACTATTGCTCAACCCCTCTGTAACTTACTCAGGCTTCCTCTTATCTCAGTAATTCATGGAAATCTGGAGGGAGGGAGTAGCATGTTTCAGAGAAGCAGGAGAAAGCCAAACACGTGCTCTCACTTAGCAAATTAACTGAGCGTTTACTCAGCGCCAGGCAATTCTGTGGAGTGCTGGGAACAGTGATGCATAAGACAGACGCGGTCTCTGATTCATGCAGGAAGCAGCACCATTTAAGACACAGAGGACATTTACAAATACTTTCAAAGAAAGACTTCTTTACTATCCAAAGGTGCATACAGAGAAATTCCTGCGAAGCCAATTTCAAGGCGAAACAGGCTTCAGGAAGGAGGCCTGGCATCCATAAGGAATAGAAGAGTCAAATTAGGCTTTTGCTCTTTGGCATTCTGCTAATGTATTTATTTATCTGACGGTTCTTAAGAAAACCCTCTTGATGGCAAGGGCTGTTAGGTCCCTCTGGGGACTCACTCACCCCTTTGTGGTCATCACCCCTTTGTGGTCACAGCAAGTAACTGCAGGAGAATATCTCTGCACTTCTAAAAATGGTTTCGTGGTGCACTGTGTAGTTTTTGACCAGATTTTCAAGGTTCAGCATTTGCGTTTTAAGTCTTTTGGAATTTACTTCGCTTTTACAAAGCTTTTTTACAAAGCGATTTTTACAAAAAAATTCCCTTTTACAAAGAAAAAAATGTTGCTTAATGTACATTTGTAATGTTTCTAATGAGATGGTAACTAAAACACAGATTCACAAGGAACAAATACATACTGGTGATTTTTAACTTAAAAATAAGCCAATTGATTAGTTAGAATATGACATTTTCAAGAGAAATAATGGGCAAAGCAGAGTGTAACAGTTAATAGTCAAGTGCTGGAAAACAATCATTCTACATGGTGTCAGAACGTTGATAAAAATGATTCTACTTTTCAGAAACCATTCTTATTTTGAGTAGTTTTCTTTTAAGATACAAAAATTAAAAATTAGGTTCTTTTAAAATACAAAACTCTGTTGGCCACATGAAATATTTCTAGTTAAAAATGCAGCCTGGAGTCTCCAAGTTTAGCTTGGAAACATTTAGTTTTAATTCTGGGAATATCACCACTCTGAACCATACCATGAAAGTCTGGTCTGTTCCATACTTATATATTTATATATTTTATTCTTTTGAGGTTTCCTTTTGTGCGTGTCCCCTCCCCCCCCCAGGGTCTTAACATGATTTACTTGCAGATAAAAGTGAACTCTCTCCCCATCTTCTTCTTTGTTCCACTTCTTTAAGGAAGCTGTCATATTCAGCCTTTTATCAGTCTTGTGAATACATGCACGCATTTACAGTTTCCTGCTGGACTATCAATTCCTTGAGGGCAAAGTGGGTATGGAGGTGAGGTCAGCTCTGAGCTCATGCCTGCCATGTGTTATCTCACTTCATCCTCACAACAACCTTACCAGGGAGGAATTTCTAATCCCGTTTTAATTATTAGGAAACTGAGGTCCACGTAGCTTCACTGAGGTCTCACTACCTGGAAAGAAGGGGAGAGGTGGGATTCCAAGTGAATTCTGCTTGACCTATCTTATAAGCTCTTCTATACCATGCTGCCTCGCAGAAATAAGGCCCATCCCGCTCCCTTCCCCAACTCCTACCTCTCTGCCAAGCAAACAGCAGATGCCCGCCTGATACCTTCACCAAATAAGAGAACACACGCTTGAGCAAGTCGTGTGCCACAAAAGAACGAGATCAGATTTCCATGTTTAATGTGTACCTATGGTTTATCCTCTAGGTACCACAGGGACATTAGCTTGATGCCACCACTTTTAGTGACCCACCATACAGGTTCGGGGATATGACAACACTCGCTTAAATGCTGCTGACTTTGTGGTACATTTGGAATTACGTGGTATGTCAATGTCTTCCACTTCTTCTGGCATTGCATTCTGTCTGCATGAGAAACTTTGGGGATAACAGGGATCCAATTATTGTGAAAAATGAAAGAAAGCAAGCCCTTAGCTAGATTTCTTGGCTTTTGGATGCTGAGACCGCACTATTCCTTTTATCTCAGCTGTTGCTTCATATGCCATTTTTACTAAGATGATGGGAGGGCTAATGGAACATTAGAACATCACTCAGAATTCCAATTTTGTACTGAAGCGGTTTCTACCAGGGGAAAGGGGGGTGGGGAGAGGGAGAGAGAGACGGAGAGGGAGACAGAGAGAAAGAACTCAGTATTTCTGCTGAATAGGAAATTATTTCTGTTGAACTTCAGTAGCCTCAAACCTGTTTTATTATTCAAAGGAGAAGAGACACAGAACTGCCTGGCAGAATGAATTTATGCAGGTTCAAAGGTTTTTCTGGAAAAAAGGCAGAAAGTCAAAGAAACTGAGAAATTTAAGTTCTGCTTTGACTCTCCATAGAAACCAGAAGTTTCTATTTAGTTGGTGGGAACAATGTCATTCAGAGCCCAAATTAAGAGTCCCCAATTTAAAAATCAGACCTTTGGCTTCTCCTGTTTTCCAAAGGGAGTTTGAATACCTGGCTGCCGTGTAAAAGGCCACATTGGTTGCTTTGATGAATATCTACTCCTGCATTTTTTAGCACAGGTGTGGAAGCACACTGCTTGAAGACATTTTTTTTTTTTCAGGGTAGATGTGGAGAAAGCAGAATAAAAAAAGCATAAATGCATTAAAAAAAGACCTGATTCTGGGAAGAAAAGAAAGATTTCTGGAAAATTAAAAAGCTATATGAAAAACAAAAAGATCTGACAACTACAGGAAAGGATGTACACTTCTGTTATATTTTTGTGCAACAGTGGCAGGGATGCCTAGACAGTAGGACACACCTGCTGTTCTCTGTGACAATAAGCCATACGGGCACTGGGAAGGTGAGAAGGTACATGGTGGCCATACTGTTGGTGCAGCCGTGGACTTGATAATTGGTAGCTCACTTAGCACCCAGTGTCTCTTCACAACTCAGTCCCAACCCTTCCCGAGCATCTTACAGGCACTTTAGGCACCTCCATGACTTTGTACACACCAGTCCCTTTGCCTCTAATATCCTTTGTCCCTCGCTTTTCTTTAATCATCCTTCAAGGCCCAGGGTAAGTGTTGTCTCTTTGGTGAAGCCTTCCCTGGGGCTCCAGGCCAGGCAGGAGGTCAGGGCAGGGGACGCCAGATGACAGCATGGATTCTTGCCAGGCCCTGAGAGTATGTGGCCAAGAGAGCCCTTGTCGATGCTGGTGTTTGCCAACCAACATCACTGGGCAGCAGGACCTATGAGTAAGCCGATTCACTGAGAACCACGTGGGGTACCACTGGTTCTCAGTGAATGGGTAAGCAGGTACCACTGAGATGATCTGAACGCTTATTCATGGAGAAAACCCAGGAGGCAATCTGTGTGCCCAGAGGTTATCTCACGTATGCTTGGGAATGCTGAGCCATAAGGCAAACTCTCCTGGGGCTCTTATAAAAGTTTCATGTTGGAATGTATCTTTTTGGAAAACTATGTCAAAATAATTTACCTGAGCATGGAACAGGAAAGAGAGAGAAGGGTTATTTATGCATAAATAACTTGTGAGCACTGGCCCACAAGTGCACCAGGGTCCTCAGGGCCTCGAGCGTAGGAAGCCAGACCTTCTTACCATGATCGCTTTCTGTTCCTGAGCGACCCCAGTAGCGACGCCTCCTTTCTGGACTGTGTGCATGCCGTTCAATGACCGCAGCTATAAATCGAGTATTGCTGACTGTGGAAGGCAAGGATGGTTAGTCACTCTTAGGCCAGTATCTTTATTGTATCAAGCGCATTTGCACTATGTAGGCTCTTTCACATCATGGGGGGAGTTATTCCTTGCAGAGCTAGAATGAGTAATTTTTTTAACAATTCTGAGGACTAGGGGAGTTGGTTTTAGGACTGGGACAGCAAGAGGTCCCTAATGACATATCTCCAACATGCATCAAGGAGATATACTCTGTATAGTTGAAGGCCAAAGTATCTCAACACACATGGAGCTCTCTTTTGATAGAGAAATGTTCTTTTTTTTCCCCCCTGAGTTGTATACATTAGTTAAAGGATTTAAAAGAAATGCATACCTGATGACTCCCTTTCTAAAATGCTATACTGGAAAGTAATGAGGAGGAGAAAGAAAGGGAAGAGTAAGGTGTTTTAGGCCAAAGTACTTAATGCAACAAAGAACACCCTGAAATCTTTTGAGACGTACTAGAAGAAAGCAAATACCTATGCTTATTCCTAATAAAAGTGGGGGAAAAAAAGAACCCCATCATGCCAAAGCATCTTAAACTTTAATACGGGAAAGCACATTTATTCTGGATTAGCCTCCTGCTGCCACGTTCTGCATGGAAGCAGCCTGGATACTCACTGATGCCTCTGTCTTCATGGCCGTCATCATCCCTTTCATCTCTGTCATTCTCCAGGTTGGACATACGCACTGACATTTCTACCCATCATTCAAAAGAGAGAAACATGACTATTTAATGAAACAAAATCACCCACTTTAATGCCCTGCAGTGTGCTCATTTGATGACTGGATGACAGCATTCCATCAATGAACTGATGCCCCATCTCATTTTTTTTTTTTTTTTTAAAGGAGGAGGGAGCAGGAATCAGAAGAGAGAACAAGAGGTGAATAATCCAGAGGGGCACCTGAGATTGATTTCTGGACACAGAGGAGAAAAGATGTTGATTGAGGCTAACAGGTCTTTAATCCTCTCCTCAAGTACCTGAAACGGAAGGAAGGGGTCTAAAACCACGGCTGACTGTGCTGATAAAATGGTGCTATAGAATCCTATAAAAGGCCAGGCCTAAGGTTACATTGGATGGCAGTCACCCTCAGTCAAACCAAACCTTACTAAGAGGAAAGAGCTTTGTGGTCAGCTCAGTTACTAAATCAGACAACACGATCCCATGATCCCCCGACAGGATTGCGACCACAGTGAAATATTCCAACATCAACTAATCATGACTGCTGCCAGGCTCCTGACCAAGTCCAGGAAAAATGATGAGTGAGGCTTATCTCCACAAAGGTCAGGGTAACACATCCCAGGGGGTTTTTAGGGAGGACGGGGTTGGTCGTTAAATGGTTTTGTTCCTTGCAAACGAGCACAGATACCACATTTAACTCTTGATATGGAAGCCATAATTACCAATTAATCATTTTGTAACTGACTTCAAGTCCTTATCCAGGTTGGACAGTCCTTATCCTGTTTTAAGAGATGGGATCATTCCTTTGAACGTGTGTTCATTCACACAATATAATAACAGCTGCAATAGAACAGATTCACGTTCTTGCCAGTAGTGACCTGAGGTATCTTTGGTCTGCCCGTCTTTTCAGAACAGCAAAGGCAGCATATCTGAGCTTAGTGAAGAACAAAATTTCCCACTCAGCATCCCAGCTCCCCTGACTGGCTTATTCCAGAGGCAAGCTATGGCGGGCTCACGCTTGTGTAAGGAGAGAGATAATCTAGGGATTTTCTGGGGAATCAAATGGGGCTTGCAGGATTTAGGCCCTAAAGGATGAGCTGTGAACTAAAGGAGGGAAGCAGGCTTTGGGGACCTCCGAATCTACTCCACAGTAGCAGGAAATGTAGCGCTGGTCTTACAGTCGCTTAAAGGCTTACAACTGGTTACTGTCCTTCTCGCCTTGGAACAACCCTGGGAGCCTGCTGCCTCCTGGGGGAGCTTTGGGATTCCTTTCGAGCTCACCTTGGGCAGCAAGAGGAGACATATGTTGATGACTCCGGCGATGAATCTGATGACGGTATGCATACACGGCCAGGACCAAGACCATGATGCAGCCCATGATGCCTCCAGCCACTGGACCCACAGGGGCACTTTTAATCATGTTCAACGTGACAACCTCATCACCTTCATTAAAATAAACAAACAAATGTCCTTCATAAAGATTTCCCAAGTGTAGCAGGAGATGGGGAACGGGGGTGAGATGGGAAGGAATGCAGTGGGAAGGGGTTTAGTGAAGATATGTAAGAACGGCAGCTTTAAGCTTTGAATCCCTTAAAGAAAACCCATCAGGATGTGGGAACAGGGCTTCCTTTAATTTCTGGTTCTCGGATGAAATGTTGCTTGCTTGCAGAGCACACAATTGGCAAGGACTTGTGAAATAAGCGAGTGGTTGAGGATCCCTTAAACATGCAGTGCCCAGTCTAAGGGCCCAGCCCTGGGCTGTGCACTACTCTTAGTACAGAGGTGAGGCAGGGCAACGTGGGTCTCTTCGCACATATTTACTCTACATGGTGTCATTTATTTCAGTGGCCCAGTCACGTGACCTCCAAAAAGGATCAAATTTCAAAGCTTACTGGGTTCCCTTTAAGACACTATTTGCACTTTTCAGACAGGAAACTGCAGGTGGGCATATAAAGTGACTTCTTGGAGCAAGGTCACTTCAACCGTGTCCTAACCTGGTCTGGTAGTCATACGAGAGCTCAGAACCCTTCCTCACATAGGAAAAGCTTTTCTTCCACAGACAGGCTAATGTGGGGAGATGTCAAAAAAGGCATTAACTAAAGGCTTAAATATCTTTTCACTTTCCAGCTAAGCTTGAGGAGCTTGTGGTAATTCCAGAAAGACACTGAGAAGATCTCAGGGTGGGTATGCAGGTAGTATTTTTGAGGTCTTGGGGCCTAATCCCAATGGTATTCCTCCCAAAAATGTCCCTGTCCCCCACCCCAAGCCACCCCACTGCACTGGATAGCTCTGGCTTTTGCCGACCTCAAGGACCTAAATACTAATTTGTAGCCATAAGATTTCTGCCTTCAAAAGTTGTGAGGGAAGGTAGCAGCAGGAAAGCGATATGCATGGGTCACTCTGCCCATCACCAGCCCTGTGCTTCTGACAGCTGGGATTCACGTTCACACAACCCCACAGTTCAGCTGCTCAGAAATCAGGCCTGATTTTTCTCAGAACAAGCTTTATGGGAATGAATTCCAGGCTTGCAAAATTTGGCAGGAAAGATGGCTGCTTACTCTGCACAGTATAGCTAGCCAGCTTTGAAAGTAATTATTTGCCTTGGTTTTGCAACTAAAAACCACCGGCAAAGAAATCAGGGAAGTAGGGGTAGAGAATTATTTTCAGATCTCTGTCCTAGTATAGAGGCAAGAAAATATGTTTTCAAGAATCAAATTATTCTGGCTTCCCCAAAAACATACCTATTGCTCCCATGTCATCAACATAGGGACTTTTGGCTCCAACGATCCCCCCGAAGCATTCTTTCTGGGGAGCACAGTAGGATTTGTCCAAGTGGGTCTTGCCATCGCTGTCTACCATGCACCATTCACAATCCAGCACACCAAAGCAGTCCCTGCCAGAAAGACAACCCTGAGTGTTCCAGAAAGCGGTGTCATGCAGGGGAGAGCACAGGGACTTGGGCATCAGATAGCTCTCAGGGGTTCCATGACTCACTAGTGCTATAACTCCTTGAGCCTGAGTTTCCTTTCCTTATAAAAGGAGAACAGCCATAGCCTGCCACGGGAAAGCTGTCTAATGTCCCTCAACAACTTGGAGATGAGAGAAATAGAGCGGCTCTCTGCGAAACAAACCATGAAGTCCACACATCATGGATTAGTGCAGGGTCACTCAGAATCATCTTAAAAGACCACACGGCCCCGAGGTTTGTTAGACTTTGGCCTAACACTCCCCAGGTATATGGTCATTAAAAAAAAAGAAAAAGGAAGGAAGGAAAAATTGATCAAACAAGTTGGGGAAACAGTGGATAAGTTCAACAGATTTCTTTGCTGCCAATTTCTTAGAACTTTTAACATGCTGAGTGCATTCTGACACAGTGTTTCTCAAGCTTAATAGGCTTTGGGTTACTGCATAACACACCGAATTAATCTATCTGATGCCCTACCATTCCTTTGCTAAAATACATACTGAAAGTAAAACTGGCTGCCCCTTTTACCCACTAATTTTGTTGAATCAAATGGCAGCTTGCAGCTGTTCAGTCCCAAACACCCTAGGGAGGAGGGGGAGGGAGCAGGGAGCATGTGGCTTTTAGTTCTCAACACTACTGTAAAGTGTATCTGCTTTTTAAGAAAGAACTGATGAGCTTCAATGTATCACACATAGAGCTGGGTTCTGTTTCTAGAACCCATGAGTTCCTGCCCCCTTGCCCTTACTTCTTCATGCCATTTCCTCTCTTACTCCTCTTATTCCAAGAATAACTTTCCCATCCACAGATGAGGCTACTGAGATATGGTACATGTGCCAAATAGCTGTAACAAGTGGAAACCAAATAACATTAAACCTGGTAGATAAAAGGCGTATCAAAATCAGTTCTGGATCTGAAAAACTGGTACATCTTTTTAAAACATCAAGAATGGGGATGATAAATACCATCTGGAAAAGTTCAACGAGGATGCTGGTCCCTATTCTTTACTAGGTTCTGCTCCTGCAGCTATGATGTTGACGTAAAATGAGCACCGGGCACTGCTTACCCACTCTCCATCCTCTGACTGCACCTGCTGTTGACACACTGGTGAAGAGCATCCTGCAGGCCAGGGTCAATAGCCGTGTATGTCACTGGCTCCTGGTGTACCTCACAACTTGGGTTTCTACGTAGGAGCAAGTCTGAAGGTTAGGACCAATACCATCCATATTCCAAACTCATCATGCCCTTGGCCCCTGACAGTGTCAAACAGATCTGGGTTTGAATCCTGGCTTTGCCACTTAGCTCTATGAAACCTTGGGCCAATCTGGCCTGAAAATCTGTCACTGAGATAAATAATGCTACATTACGTGTGAGCATCTGTGTGTGTGAAATGTTCCTACATGTTTATCAAAGGGTTAATTTGAAAACTAAGTGACAGGGCCTCCCTGGTGGCGCAGTGGTTAAGAATTTGCCTGCCAATGCAGGGGACGTGGGTTCGAGCTCTGGTGCAGGAAGACCCCACATGCCACGGAGCAACTAAGCCCATGTGCCACAACTACTGAGCCTGCACTCTAGAGCCCTTGAGCCACAACTCCTGAAGCCTGGGCGCCTAGAGCCCATGCTCTGCAACAAGAGAAGCCACTGCAATGAGAAGCCCACGCACCGAAATGAAGAGTAGTCCCCGCTCGCTGCAACTAGAGAAAGCCCACACGCAGCAACGAAGACCCAACGTAGTCAAAAATAAATAAAGTAAAAAAAAAAAAAAAAAAAAAAAAAAAAAAACAAAAAAA